GGTGTTGGGGGTGGGGGGGAAGGTTATGGAAAAATTTTAAAAATAACACACAGGGAAAAAAAGTCTTGTAGGAAAAGCAAAGTAAGAAAATTCCGAGGGGAAATAAGAGGCATAATTGAATCTGTATATTTGGAAGAAAAGTTGTGTTAAAGTCATGTGAAGGTAACTCAAATCTGACACGTGTTGTAAAGAAAATTAATACAATACTGTAAAGATAGATAGATAATCACCTCTAGACACTAAGGTAAAAATAGAAAAAAAGTCAATAAAAAAACAGGTTAATTTGGACCATTCCTATCATTCTTTAATGCATAATTCTGTTTGTTATACAAATACAGTGACGTCCTCTTCGGCTGTGGCAATAAACAAAGTGAACATCGTATTCTTTTAAAATGCTATTGGTATTTTCTGGTGACCTTTAAACCAGTTCACCATGGACATTGAGATTTGACCAGAAATCGGATTTCCTGATGTTAAAACTTGTTAGCTTGTTGGCTTTGTGGATCACTTATCCTGGTTCTTGTGTGTTCGGAAGTCAATTTGGTCTCAACTCTTCACATGGAAGAAAAGCGAAAAAAGGAGCATGTCTTGTCTGAATCTGTTACTGTAGTAAATTAGACAACAGTTCTTGATAATTTAAATATGCTCTCAAGTGGCAAAAAGGGAGAGTAACAGAGTACAATCATGTCTGATGATGACATGTGAAATACCCTCTATCGGTCCCTCAAACAAACTACCCACCAGGATGTTTTTGGAAAAAGTAATATCGACAAGACACTTGCAGAGCACATTCATGCTCCCAACAGAATAAATCCTCACAACACAAGCTTTTTTTTCACTGATTTTTCACAGATTTTCTTTCTAAAGTTCAGATTTTTTTCTTTGGTTTGTTGCATCTAGCATGATGGTATCTGAAGTATTCTGTTACAAATAACAGAACTTGACTCTGGACATGTCCATCCACCCATATGTGCTTAATCCACACACCACCTAGTCTTTTATGAATATAAGCAAAGTTGATAATACACACAATCAGATACAAAGATACATTTTGTACAGTGGGATCTATGGAGGTATCACAACCCCCGTTTTCTCTTTGAAAGCCTGCTGAATGAAAGTGTAAAATGAATTAAAACGAGTCCTTGAGAAAGGTAAGCTTTGAAAAACTTCAGAAATGTTTCCCAAAGCTTAGAAATGGCCTCTATCATTGCCATTGGAGAATGTATACATTTTCTTTATTACATGTCTACCTATTACATGTCTACATGTCTAAAAAAAAACAACTAAAAAACCTGAAATCAAAGGACATTTGTCACTCATCCTCTGTTTGTTTTGCTGCCCGCGCTTTATTGTGAAGTAATTTGATTTGGAGGCTGTGATCGATGAAAGGCTTTCTGCTAGTCCCAAGCTTCCGCAGTGAGATATTGGTACCACCATTTTCAATAAGCAAAGGGCCCAGTGTGGAGTCTACGGCGTATTCTAGAAACTCTGAAACAGTCGTGATGGATCATTCACCAGACTACCAATCCTTCTCCTAACATTTTCACTTTGATGCTCAAATAAGTGGAAAAAGCTGTGCTGCATATGAATTTCTACCTTCGTAAATTATTAATCTTGTACAGAGTCTGAAACCCCCGTGAGAAATATGTTGAGAAAACTTCACTGTCAGGGTTTATGAGCTTGTATGAAGAATATTTCATTTTTTTCCCGAGCTAGAGTGAAATAATTTCGACGTAAGAACCGTAATTGAACCTTTTTTTTCCCCCTTTGCTGGTGGATTTTGCAGCTTGTGAGGAGATTTAGAATAAAAAAAAATTAATGTGCAATGATGTGGAAGATGACGGCTGGGTTGCATTTTCCTACTTTTCTCTTTTTCTGCTTGACCCTCATGATGAAACCACAATGTACCATGCTCTGTGTCAGAGACGAGCAAGCTTGAAGGACAGATCACAGCGGGAGTAAAAAAAAAAAAGCATCCTCAGGAAGAACACAAAAAACAAAGCACAGCGGATAGAAGACACCTTCCACCTCATATATTCCCTCCCCTGTCCAGCTCCATGGACTCTGTCATCCGACAGGGTAAAGTAGAGGTTATAATCACTTACAGCTGTTAACTGCATTCTGTGTATCTATTTTTATTTTCGGTTTTACACTTATCTCTTCATTAACAGGCTACTCTTAGACTTTGATGTCATTTTGAAGGCATTTTGCAACCTCGGTTCTGCAGCATTAAAATTTTCTCAAAGAATATGAAGGTTTTCTGTCATTTAACTATTGGAACCTTTCCCTGCTTTTATAACTTCAGGCTTTACCAATGTCTTTTTTAAATGTATTATTTCTTATTATCGCTAACTTTATGCCTTATTTCTTCTGGTTCCATCCTTAACAAACAAGTGGTTTGGGAATCAGGTTTCCACAGGCTTGATATGGGATATTTCTCAACATTTCCCTAAAAGGTAAAACAGGTGGAGCAGGTGTCAAAATGTGCTGAGAGGAGCAGGCCGGCTGGTTACGGGGGATCTTGCCGTTAAAAAAATGATGACGCTGATTGTTGTTGTTTGTTTGTCTTTGAGTCAGGTCATGGTTCCCCTCCCTCTGGCACAGGATGGACCTTAATGAGCGTGTGAGATATCAAATGTGATGGCAAGGCATTTTCAGTCAAAGCAAGCTTCGGTTTCTCTTAGTGCAGAAACGGGAGTGTAATGGAATCATATGTGTGTTTGCTCCAGCAGAATTTTAAATGGTTCTATAAATGTTCTCACATCTACTCATAGTAAATGACACAACAACTACAAACATCAGCCCTGTGTGAGAAAAAAAGAAGTTTGTTTTTGGTTTGGCATTTGCCCACCAAATTAACTTTTCATTTAAGCTCTAGTTCATTTCCAGACTCGGAACACGTATTCCGATCCTTGGAAAACCAAACTGCATTCGACAGGATTTTTTTCCTGATGCAAGAGGGGCTGTGTTTGTCGCTGCAAATGAGCATCAGATTGCTCTGACTCCATCCCTCCCCGATCCTTTTCAGCCAAACATGACTCATATTTTGAGTGGTTCTTTTCATCCGGGGTTCCAGCCCTGCTGCCTCAGAGGGGGGGCAGATGGGCAGAGAGAGTGAATGTCTGGGTGAGTAAGGATCTCCTGGTGCCGCATATATGACCGAGCTGCTTCAGAAACTGTTTTTCACCCAGCTTCTATTTAGTTTACAGTCCAGTCGTCCATTACGGCTGAAGGCTCCTGACCAGTCGGGCCTCGTCCTCCTGTCTGTGATGTTTATGAATGGGGTCTCAAGGAGATCAGGGAGAACAGGTTGGGTGGTTTGGGAACTTCTCTGCTTTTTTCATGTTTTGTTTTGTTTTTCTTCTCCACTTTGAGACCTTCTGGAAAAACTGGAATGTTTTGTAGCCTGGTTTCAAGCACCCGGGATGAGAGTCAGAGACCATGATTATCATCCAGAAAAGGGTCAAGTGCTCCCTTGGGGACGGAAATCCTTAAGACTCAGAATATGATGTAAGACGGGGAAAAGGGTGCCATGTTTTCTCTCCAGAACATGTTGCCTTTGCACCCACAGACAACTGGATGAAAATTAATTTAAAGTTCAATAACTACTGTTTTTTTGGGTTTAAAGTTTGTTTACTGATATATTCTTATGTAAGGGAAAAAGTAAAACGGCGCTCATCAACGAGTCGTGTTTGCTTTTAATCCCATTGTGGATTTCAGAATTGGGATTAAACGCTCTTGTTTGTTTGCCATAAACACGTTAGAGATCCTCAAAAGCCGCCGTAAGGCTGACGTGCTAATAAGCCTACTGCAGCTGACCCGCCGCTGATCACATCACCACGAACTCAAATCCACCATCATTTGCCCACTCTTCCACTTCGGCTGTTTTAAAACCATGCTTTTGAATTAAATTGGGTGCGCTCAACCGTGGAACCCCTCGAATTCTTACCCTTGAATCGAGCTTGAATGCAAATGCTGCCGTTAACAGCTCACCTCTAAAAGGGGGACGCTTAAAAGCAGCATTTGACTTTTAAAACAAGTAGTCTCTTTCCACTTCTTATTTTTTTAATCACAGGATCCCCTGTTAGCCTTGTCGGCCACAGGCCAGCTCTCATCATCCAGAGTGCAACGGCAGCCGCGGTTAAATACATTTTATTTAAAAACTGCACTTTTTTTTACCGAAAATTGCACATTTGAAAGAATTTGCAATGAAAATAAAAAGAGCCTTAAAGTGGCCAAAGATGGACTCTTAACCTCCTAATTCAGTGAGTGGGTTCTCATGGGAATGAATACTGGGCTCATCTGTAGCTTTCATTGGCCTTGCTGTTTTTTTTACTTCACTTCGTGCACTGATTAGTATTTTAAATATGGGATTATTCAATGGTAAATGTTTAATAGTGAGAGTGCTTTTCAAGTAGAGGAATTTAAAGTGAAATATTATAAAGTCCCATGGCAGTGTGATGTAAATAAAGATAGCTCTTTGCTGTGCACTTGGTTGAGGACTTGGATGACTGATCTAGCCTTTAATTGGACGATATGTAAAACAAAAAAGTCCAAGTTGTATCACTGATCGATCATTTGTTCATTAAATGTTGGTTTATTTTCTTGATTTCCTAAGCAAGATCCTTTTTAAATTAGCTTTGTATGAACTGGACAGACTTGGACAATTGCCTTGACTTGAATTTAATTGGCTTGACTTGGATGCATCTTTGAACTTCTTGAGATGACATTTTTTTAAATAATTTGGCGCTGCGTGAAAAACAACTGAATTTAATTTAATTCAATTCCATGTAATACACGAAGAGAAACACCTTAAGGGCATGCTTGTGCATTAACAACTTTTTAATTGATTGTGCAGACGGTGACTTTAATGGAAGCTGACAATTGCCAGTAATTGGCTGACGGAAATTTACATAAATATTGGCCGTTTAGTTTTCATTTTGATGTGTTTTTCTCTGTTTGTAAGATGAATTGTCGGTTGGAATCACACTCAGGCTGCTGTCCAAGGCTGTTTGATTTAACAGATGTGGCAGATCAGACAATAACTCTCTAAACGGAGTCTGGGCAACAGCATAGGCTTATTGCAACTTTGGAGATGATCAAATATGCGGCTTTAATATGTCAGTTGTGTAAGTGTAGCCGAAATGGCCTCTGATCTCTGTGACCCGGGGTGGAGTGTGAATAAAAATGGCAGATTTCACCCCAACCAACTTCATTTAAAGTAATGAGATGCAGATGAGATCATAACCCTATTTTTTCGACAATAGTCAGAAACGGCCTGGGCCTTTGACACATTAGTGGTTTGTATTTCCTCAGACAAAATACATAAAATGCTATTATTATCCAGTTGACTGCAGCATAAACTGTAGGCAGGAGTACAGAGAGAGTGTGCAGAGGCCGGACGCATCCATTCGGTATGGTTTTCAGAACGCTGCTCCATCTGCAGGAGCCTGGCAGCTGAGATAAAGTGCTAGGAGTGCAGATTTACTCGGAAGTGCTATCGACTCTCTTCCAGGGAAAGAAGTTAATGTTTGTCCAAGAATCGATAGATGTGGCATTATGCCTCCGCTCTGAAATAAAGACTCAGGGAGGGATTGTTACTGCAA